GTTTCCAAATTCTAACAGCTTTTGAAGATTAAAATCACCAGAAGAAAAAATTGCAGCTTGGTTTAGATCACGCATACATATATCTGCATAAGGGCTATGAACATTAACAATTCTCCACAATTCAATTATTATTAAAAGAAATGAAATAGTATCATCAACATTTTTCAAGTCTGGATGACATTTTAAGGCACAGACAGTTTCTTCACAAAATACTTTTAGACAAGTAGAAACTTTTTGTCTTTCAATTGGTTTGGGGAATACAGCAACATCAGTAAGTTTAGACATTTTAATCATTTGATTTGATTCTAATTTATGCAATGCTACGATGTGAGATCATTTGGCAACTTTTTTTTCCTTATTAACATAAAACTCAAGTTCTTGAGTCTTTTCAGTTATCCAATTATTGCAAATATTTTTTAAAAGGTGCACAAAATCATATAAAAGATAAATGTTATCTTTTGTACGCAAAGGTACCCTGTCTGTATCAAATTTCTTTAAAAAGGCCTGATTTACCCTGCTACTATCACAAACTATACATACAACATTACCACCTGCTGCTTTTATGACAGATTGAAGAAAGTTAGTTTGTTCAAAAAGAAAATTTGAATCAATTTCACGTACTGGAAGCATTTTGCATAAAAATTTGGGTCCACCAAACAAAGTAACTACCATAAAACTCAAAACAGTATTAGCAAGAACATTTGGATTGTTAACTGCTTTTCCAAACACTGTTCCCCCATGGTACTGCAACATAGTTTTCGTCAGGTTGAACATTTCTAGATTCTACATGTGATCTTAAAGTAGTTCTGAGACAACCAGATGGTGAAGGTATTAAACTTGATTTTACACACGTAAATACAGATGGAGGATCACGAGGTCTTTCTTTCCCATAGTCTTTTATTAAAACGTATCCAACAGGCTAGTGCCTTTCACAAACTACGGTGTCTTTTTTATCTGGTATATTGTCTCTTGGTATAACTGCCAACCACCTTTTTCTTTCTTCTGGTATTCGAGGAAGACGAAAAGTTTTTTCTTTGGAACTTTCGCCTCCAGTTTTTGACGTCATCCGCACGGTGAATAGGCCTGTTATAAAGTACGCCATGGACAGCTGAGTTGCTGCAACCTTTCCGTTGTTTAACGGGGAAAGCTTTTTTAATTTAAACGGAATTATCCGTTAATTTACGGAAAAGTACTCGTACTTTTGTAAATATCCTTGAAGTTTATATTAGTACTCGTACTATTGTAAATATCCTTGAAATGTTAAACAACTTGTTTCAGAATATATTTGATTTGATTTGATTTGATTTGTTGTATTTCAAAATAATTCAAATGCTAAAGAAAAGATGCTCAAGATACAGCATACAAAGTATCTTACAGGGAGTAAAAAAACAATTGTGACACTTGACCTTCAACTCTATATGGTTGGGAACTAAAAAAATGGATCTTTTGAGCCCATAACGACTGATAACCTGCCTGCACCAATAGCACTTATCGAGTTGAGCGTCTGTCGTTGTAAAGGAGACTCTAGTAATAAAAGCTACACATTTTTGAAAAATAAACTTGTATGTACTGATATGGGCAAGTTTAAAGTATGTAAAAATAAAAATGTAGACGACCAAAAGGAAAACTATGCCTATGAATGTAGAGATTTATAAGACGCAATGTTATTTATCGTATTATTAAAAACCAGCTTGTAAGCACGTTAATTTTAACATATATTTCCAAAATTTAGATTTTTGAGTTTAAGAATGAAATCTTAGAATATTTGAAGCTTTTCATTCAATAAATGTCTTTAATTCCATTTATATTACAAGGTTAATTGACCTAATACTGTTAATAAAATATTTTCTGGGAGCCTTTTTATCTCTTCATTAAACATTCTGAATTACAAATACTATTTTGATTTACATATGATATTGTTTATATATTTATACAATGCCAATACTATATATATATATATATATATATATATATATATATATATATATATATATATATATATATTAGCTTACTAATTATTTCAGTTTTACTTAATTTATCTTTTATCTAATGGTAATTTTTGTAAATGACCCCCGGTTTGGTAACTTACAATATCTTATGAAGTAAAAATTTTCAACATATCGCGACGTTAGAATTATCTTGTTCTATCTCCACTTTCTGAAAAAATTGAGTTAATGATAGAGTTGTGTTCCTCAAAATAATATCTTTCTACTGAATTGAAACCTAAGTTATAAGTAAAAAAGTTGCGGAAAAAACATGTTATAAAAAAAATTTATACGCCGTCTTTTAAAGTTTTTGTTTTTTAAATCGTTTTATCTCAAAACTAAAAAATGTGGAGATAGAACAAGATAATTCTAACGTCGCGATATGTTTTTTATATAATTTTAAAAGCTTATTTAATGCTCATTCTAATGGTATAAAACATTTTGAAAATAACGAATAATTTTTTTTTTTGATATATGGGCCTATTACGTCATATCACGTGACACAAACCATAAATATTAAGTGACACCTGTCACTTTTCAAATCCTTTTCATACAAGGATCTCATATCAACAAAAAGTCTGCTTGTAACACGTATGTGCACACGAAGAGTATTTTTGAAACATAGTAACCTGCACTACTATAGTCTAACTAATATATGCATAAATATCACCTACAAAAACTTACAGAAAGTTTAGGAGAGGATTCTCCATCTATCATTTGTTTTTTCTTTAAATGTTTAAGCAAGGAATTTAAATTAGATACTCTTTGTTGAAGCCGCCTGTTTTTTTGCTGGAGAGTTTTGATTTTTTTTTTTTGCTTTGAAATTAATATTAAAGACTGATCGTCATGTAAAAAAGAATTATTTTTTAAATCGTTTAGTACTTTCTCTTTTTCAGAGGAGGTTCTATAGCTGTTTTTTCAAATTTCTCAAATAATTCCAATGGTTTGTCTCTGAAAAAGATGCAGCATCATTTATTGTTTCAATGTTTTCACATTTATTTGTGGTTTTTCTAGTTGCTGGAGGTTTTCTAGGTTTCATTAGCTTCACTAAACTGCTAGAAAAATCAAAAATGATTGGTATAGCATCTTTTTTTAAGTTGCTTTTTTGAACTTCAACCACAAACAATGTATGATTCTTTTGTAAAATGCTTAGAGCAAATTTTTGAACTCTTTGTTGGATAAAAGTTTTCTCTACGCATTGCAACAACCCATTTGTTCCAAATTAATAAATCTTCTGGAAATCTATAACATAAAAATATTTCATAAATAAAAACAAAACAAATTATAATTAGTGTTTATACATGATTAAAAATTTTATACAAATACCAACTGATATTACTGTTTATTAACAATGTTATAGCAATTACTAACATGTTAATAATCGTTTAAACTCCAAAATCAGGAATTAGAAATTTAAAAACAAGATTTTAGAAACAGTATGCTAGATTTTAGTAATTTTCAAACTATAAATTATGCTTAGGGTTTTGAATACGTATATACTATTACTAATAGTCTATGTAATATGTATGGTGTAAATATAATAGGTTAAATGTCATATGTATGGTGTAAATATAATATAGCGTAAATACACAACACAATGTATTTACCAATAATAATGGCACATAATTATATAATGATATTTTACTATCTAGCTCGAATTTTAGAATCCTATGTCATAGGAATGACATCTTTATGTCATAGGCTATGATTCAAAATTATTTATTATATAATATAAACCAAGAGATATTAAACTAATTATTATTTATTACAAACTCTTACCCATGAAATGATATGTCTGAACCATTTTTATATCTTTCTGTGCAGTTGTATGCACTGCAAGAATGTACCATAATTAAAATTGATTTAAAAAATGAGATAAATGTAAGAGCAAACTCTTTGTTATAGGATTCTAAGATTCGTGCTAGATTATAACCAAGACCCGAGTTATTTAAAATTATTTAAACCTTTTATACTCATTTTCTTATAATAATTTACGGTAGATTAGGTTTATTATATTAAATAATTATTTTTAATATATTATAGCAAAACTTGTTATAACTTATACGCTGTTAAAAATTAATCTGATATTCAAGCAATAATTGGGTCAGGATTTTATAAAAAACGCGAAACGTGGATTTGCTCACTGGAAAAAAGTTTCAACCAACTTTTTTTTTGTTAGAAATACGTCTAGACGTAGCCACTGCGTATTACACAATGCAGAAAAAGAAAACTTTGTTTAATAAAAATATGTTAAAAAAAAATATTTCAATGCAAAAATGGTGGAAAAGCCGTTTAGATTCAAAATTTAAAACAATGATTAAGATTAGATAATAAATATGTAAGAATTTAAAGGAATCTGTTTTTTTCACGTACGTTTAGAAACACGTACGCGCTATTAAAAACGTTTTACGTTTGAGGTAGTCCATAAACTACGTCAGGAGGAGGGGGAGGGGGAAGGGTAATGTATTTCTGACGGCTCATACGGATCTTGTTACAAAAGAGTTACAATGTTGTGACAAGGAGGGGAGGGGTGTAGTTTATAAAGGTTAAAAATGCGTAATTTAATTTGTGAACGATTCTTTATGTTTAATGGTATTAAGATATATTTTTATTTATTATACGTCAAAGACTTTTTTCCATATTAGCTTCGTAATAAGGATCTCAAAATCAAGGTCATATGTCGACGCCCCCTATCCCTTATTACACCAAACAAAATTCAGACAAACAAATTTGGCTTGTAGTTCCTAAAGCATCTAACAGGTTGAAGGGACAACTGTGCCCGGTGCATATTAAAACCCTCTAATGAAAAATGCGTAATTTAATTTGTGAAATTTATTGGCTTTTATGTATAGAAATTTATTGAGAAAGAAATTTATTGGCTTTTATGTATACGTATACATAAAAGCCAATAAATTGCGTCAGTGCCGTATATACGGCGTGAGTGCCGTATATACGGCACTGACGCAAATTTAAAATATAAAAAAAATAAACAAATTCAGTGAAATATACTATTTTAAATGACCAATCAAAGTGTGGCGGGAAGGACATGTGCACATGTCTATATATGATTTCAACACCTAACATCAATAGATACGAAGTTTCTTTTTGACTTGCCTGTTGCTTCTCCAAGATTAGCTCAAGGTAAGGTCAAATAATAAGGTCAACTTAAGGTAACGTCTATTTAAAGTAAGCATGAAGTTCTTTAGCTGTTTTTACCGTAAATGCTTTTTTGCTTTTTTTTAATTAAATAACTTTTATGTTGATTTTTTAACATAGTATGTTAACTATAAAGATATTTGAATCATTTTTTGATAAATATATGTAAATTGGTCAGAGACGATTTGTTGCAACTGGACATCAGATATTGGTTAGTAGTTTACCAAACCGACAGAGAAATACAAAATAACAAAAAAAAAAAAAAAAAAATGCAACCACAACTCGAGGAGTTAAAGAAGGATCGGGTATTTAAATTATTGAAAATAAAACTCTAAACTTATCGGTACTGTATCCAGCTCATATCGAGTATAAAAAAGAAAATATAATAATAATAGTAATAATAATAGTAGTATTAATAATGAGCTGTTTCTATGTTGACTACGTTGCAAAACACTTAAACTAGTTCAATTTTTTTTACGTTTTTGGTAACTTCTAGCTTAAATTTTCCCTGATATTTTCGATCCTTTTAAGTCAAATCCATATCAAGAAAACTAAGTTAAGCAAATGGAATTCCCAACAAAATGAGACAATTTGTTAATTATAAAACCTTCGTAAATATTTGCCATGCTATTTTTAATTCCCATCAAGTCATATACAAGGACACTTATGAAAAAGTGTCAAAAATTTTCAAAATAAGTCATTAAAAAATATTCATTTTCAACCTAACATTTTTTTTTGACATACTGTATAGTCTTTTTAAATTTTGAAAAACAAATTTTTATCAAATAGTACTTGTATGGTATGTTATCCAGAATAACATGCCCGACTGCATCAATGGGTATCTTTTGTAGCATCAAATTTTTTTTTGCCAACCTAAATGATTGAGGTCAACAAATTATTGCTGAACTAATTTTTCCTAATTTCGAGGTTTGTATATATATATTTGTTATTATGTTAGTGTATTCTACAAATAGAGTGCTAAATGTTCTTCAAGAACAGAGCAATAATAAATTAATGCTTATCTAAGTGCTGCTACATTGACTGAGGTTTTGGGATGGGGCTGCAATCTTTTCATTCATTATTCTTTGTTTTCGTCTTTTTCTGAAAAAGCTTTATCGGTTTAGATGAGCAAATGCTCACATAAATATGCTATTATATATATATATATATATATATATATATATATATATATATATATATATATATATATATATATATATATATATATATATATATATACACACACTTTAGTGGAAAATTGATGGTTCATATTATTTTTATTGTTGTTATTCTTATTGGTTTTATTATTGTTTTACAATAAATGTTTATGCCATTGTAGGTCATCACCAGTTGATAACTGAAAAATTTCCCTCACTATGCAGTTGTTGTTAAAGTGGAAATATTGATTGTTTGATTAATTGCTAAAAAATAGACACCACACTGTTGTACAATAATTTATAGAAAATAGTGTGATCAAGTTGTTAAAATTATTTGATTATTTTACAAAATGTTCAGCTATTTACAAACTAAATAGTTTGTAATGGTCAATATAGTCAAATTAAAAAGATCTTTGTTTTAAATTTTTTAAATAAAAAATAGTTTTATATTAAGGATGTACTGGAATTCCATTCTGGCTGGAATTTGTGACTTTTAGTTCATTCAGGTTCTGACCGGAATTGCAATATTTCAGGCCGGAATTTATTTTTTACTTTTTTTTTTTTTAAATATGTGACAGACTAAATTAAATTAAAAAACCGTTGTCCTACAGGGCAATGAAGAACTATAGGTAAACCTAGGTAAAAAAGACTAAATTCTTAACAAACGCAATGTAATTTATTTATAATAATCAATTACGTGAGGATTTCTAGAAGTTTATAAATATTGTGGTTCAAAAAGAGTTGCTATCCAGATTTAGGCAAACTAGATCTTTTTTTTTATCAAAAAATGTTACCTGCCTCTTAGAATAGTCTCATTTTAAATGTTACTCAAATTTAAACAATCAAAAAGTATAGGATGTCTAATATATTAAAAATTTCAATTTTAACATTAATGGAAAAATAGAAAACAAAGAAATAATTTCAAGTATAAAAATTATATAGATTAAATCTTACAACAAATAAAATTATAAGAAAAAAAAAAAAAAACAACATTAGATTTAAATAAAACATAAATCAAGTTAATGAAATATATCAATGATATATTTTATAAACTAGATGTCTAACTTCAATCCGAAAAGTGATTGAAGTTAGACATCTAGTTTATAAAATATATCATTAATATAATTTTATTAACAATTCCAGCAAATCCGGTTCTGACCGGATTTGCTGGAATTGACTTTGATTGGACCAGATAAGAAATTTAAAAAATTTTCAATCTGGTATGCCCCTATTTTATATATATCGTCTACTTACTAATAATATAATGATGCTAAACCTCTCAAACCCTTTTACTCCCAGACATAAAAAACAGTAAAATGATTATAAGTGAAATGTTACCATTGATTTATTAATAATTAAATAAAGTTTAATTGTTAGAACTTCACTTATGAGACCTTGTTTTTTTTGTTAATAAAACGGTTGCAAAAATATACTTTTGTTAATAAAACGGTTGCAAAACTATACTAATTTTCAAGTGCCATTTTTGGCGTTATCACGTTTATTAACAAATATTATGATGCGCATAGGCCACAGCGACTAAAAGAGTTAAAGATTATGAACATTAACTTTGTTTTCTAAATATTTATTTTTTTTATATTTTTGAATATTTATTTAAAATCGTTTCTCATTATTGCTTAGTGATCAATTATTTTTTAGTATAAAAAATGGTGAAACGCAAAGGTTCTTCTTCTGATGATGTGGCAAAAAATGTAACAAAAAAAGTTAAAAAAGTGTCAGATGTAAATGAACAGAAAGAAAGCAAATTAAACTACACAAGCTGTGAAAGTGTGATGTCATCATTACTCCAACCTATTTCTGTTAAAACCTTTTTTGAAGAGTTTTGGGAGAAAAAACCTTTGTATATCAAAAGAGAAAATTCAGGTAGAACTTTTTGATAAAAAATTGTTTTTAGGATAATGTACAAAAAATGCTTTTTACTAATTTTTATAGTGGTTTCAAGGCAATATTGGCCTTATAATGATAAAGTGCTTAACAATGTAGGGGTCGTCCTTAAATTACCTCACGATTTGGGGTGGGGGATGGTTGTAGGCAATTTTGTGACAATTTGTTATGGGGGGGAGGGGGTCTCCGATTTTGTGATGCAACATTTTATTTTAAGGTTTTAAATCTCGAGAAGTCTTTCTTTTAAGTAAAAGAATATTTAACCAAATCACAACCCTCAGTTGATGTATCTACATGTTGATTGTAAATTCAACTGCGCCTAAATCTTATTTAGTCGATGTGTACTCTGTTAACATTAATTTTACTTTGTTGCATAATATTGGTGTGTGGGGGGGGGGGGGGAGTCAATAAAATGTTACCATGGGTTAAAAAGGTAGGAGGGGGTCAAAAATGTCAAAAATTGTGTGATGTAATTTAAGGGCGACCCCTTATGTATATGCGTAGCATAACAAAATAGCACTGGTATAATTTAAAGTGGAGACCTCATAAACGGCTATAACTGGGTTGTTGCCAAAAAAAATGTCTTGGCTGCCATTATTTTTAATGTTGCAGTTAAGACACAAGCGAAATTTTTTATAGAGATGCAACTTAAGAGAAGGATAAAACACAACTCAAGTAGGATCAGGCTTGGTCGGGAAGCGGATGCGATCGCACTCGTTATTTGACCACGGAAATTATATTTAGTTGCGAAAACCCGGCCAGATTTTTTAGGCGTTTTGAGAACATTTCAAAAACAAGCAAAAAAGCGCAATAAGATAAACTGGACCGATGAGAGACAGTTAAAAAAAAGAAAAATAGCTATAACACAAAACTTTAAGCAAAATAAATACGATTAGAGCAAACGTCGCTCTTTTATAATTTTTTTTTAAAAAAAAAAGCCACATTTTTTGTATATAGTAACAACGTACTAATAATGATTGATTAATAAAGAAACAAATGTTCTTCAATTTATCAAAGATTATATATAATTTTTATTTATATACTTATGTCTTATTTCCAGTGCTGGAAATAAGAGGTGGGGGGGGTAGAAGAGCTATAGTCCCGGGACACACAATGTTATGGGCCGAGAAATAGTCAAGAGGACCTATCGGTATTTTTAAGTCATTTTTACGCTGTCGCACATAAAAAAGGCCACCAAAATAATGCAGCCCCCGGCCCTGTAAAGTCCAACAAGATTAAACCAATAAAACTAACGCTACATAATTTAATTATAAATAAAAAAAAGTTTTTTCAGTACCTGTTTTATGCTTCGCGTAGTTTGAAAAGTTTAACATATTTGAAACAATTCTTCTTAGTAAGATGAACAAATGAAATAACTAAATCATTGAGTTACTGTGGAAATTTAATTAGCTAGATAGAAATTAACTAAAAACGTTAAATTACTTTGTAAGGAGGAAGCGGAACTGCTTAACAATATCGCTGATGATGTTTAGTGAGTTTGCTTTCCTGATAATTTGCAATCTTTTAAGTCATCAGTCAATCGTTATCTTGCTCTACAGATTTAGTCTTTTCTCTCCCAGTAACTTCCAACTCTTATAGTGGTTGCTTGCAGCCTTGTTGGAAGTGAAGATGTAAAAAAAAAAAAAAAAAAGAGTGAGCTTTATATCTTTAATTAGTATTTTACAGAAGAAAAAAACTTTAAGTGTAAGTATAACGAGTTTGTAAGAATGGCTGAAGCAAAAATAATTGAAGTTAATAAACCAATTTCTAATACATTACATACATATAAATACATCCCTTATATATAAAAAATAAGATTATACTAATTAAATCTATAATATATTTACAAAACGTTGACAAGTTAAAAAATATAAATTTAAAACATTTATTTTTGTAAACAAATGTTAGTTTAAAACATTTATAGCTTTATGGATGTGACTCCGAGAATGAGCCATTGTATTAAAATAATTGTTCGTTTGATAGAATATTCTTAAAACAATTGATGCTAGAATTCTCAACGAAAACATAACAAAAACAAAAACAAAACAAAAAAAGATTTTGAAAAATAATTCAACAGAATACTCTAGAACAGTTGCTTGAATTCTTTAGTAATTTCAGTTATTTATTAATTGAATCAATAGAATTAGTTGTTCGTAAATTTGGCGGGTTTTTTGTGTTCGCGAATATTCTTTATTTATTTTTCCGCACTAAGATGTTTGACAACATTCAAGTTTATATAAGTTTCCATGTACGTCCGTAAAACAGAATCTTTTAAAATTTACGATAAAATGAACTTATTATTTTGCGGACAAACAAGGAAACATACATTAACTGAAATGTTCTCAAAACGCCTGAAAAATCTGGCCGGCTTTTCGCAAATAAATATAATTTCCGTGGTCAATTATCGAGTGCGATCGCACCCGCTTCCCGACCAAGCCTGAAGTAGGATGAATCACTTTTACAAAAATTTAACTTTGGCTGGTGATTTTTCTATTGTCTTAGACCATATGATTCTAAGAACTAATTTTTTAAAAATTTTTGCATCTGTTATTTAGTCATTTTTTGAGCTTAAAAATATTGGTTTTATCATAAATCATAGATGAAATTTACTTATAACACCTTTAATTTTTCCAGAAATTTCCGGCGTTTTTTGATATTAATTTGAAAAAAAAATTAATATATTTTTACATTAAATTTTACATATGACAACTTTAGCATTTAAAAAAATATTTTCTATAATTAAAATTTTCACGAAATCAATTTTTGTAACTTTTTTTTTTTGCTTTTTCATTCATTCATTTGCATTTTCATTCATTAAAACTTTTTCGAATATTAAAATTCCTTTTTGTAAAAAGTTAAATTCTGTTTTAAAATAATCTAAATTCCGTTTGTCAGTTAAATGCGATCAAATAATTTTCCGGGATTATCATAGAAAAGAAATTGCCAGGATTTTCATAAAATCAAATACTAGGATAAATATATTGTCAACAGTATGTTATTTTTTCACTATTAAAGTTAATTCCTGAATTTCCACCAAGTTAGACTATTAATAATGGTTTTATTATTTGTTAAATAAATATAAAATGTATTGTTTTTGCATAATAAAATGTAAAGTTAGAATGTTGTTTACAGCATTTTACAATGATTTGTTTACAATATAATACAATGGCACATATAAAACTGGTTTTTAGCAAATCTTTGATTTGCTAAAAACAATAAAATGATAATTTATTAATTATTAAAAAAAATTAACATTACTACTCTCTAATAATTTTGAAGTATTTATTTTAAGCCTTAGATTGACTTTTAAAAGACTTAAAATAAATAATACATTTTAAGCAAAATACAGTGTGGTATAGATTTAATAATGTCATTTAAAGTTTTATGATTAGTAAATAAAGCATTACATATTCTGATATTTATATTATATGTATAAATTGAGTGATTATTTAATACTCACCTTAAGGCACTTAAAAATTTAATATTTTATAAATTATACTTAAGCTGATGCAGGCTTTAGCATGAATCGGGAGCAATCGCTCCCGTCACTTGAAACACGCTTGTTAATGGAATATTTACAGATTGCGGGCGCGATAAAAAACGCTCGCTAATTTAGTTACGATAGTAAAAAATTGTGCTCGACCTAAAAATTTGGGAGGGAGAAAACTAATAATGGTTTACTTGATTTTAGATTAATTTTTTTTTATAAAAAGTTTTTGTTTAAGATTCTTGTTTAATTAAACAAATAAGTTCGCTTATTGTTAAAAACAAAATAATCTCTGTTCACTTATTGCGTTTTTCCAACTGAGGTAAAATGTTTAAGTTATACTTCAATTAAAAAACTTATTTTTTCATGTTAACTTACGTCATTCTGTTGAAATTAGAGTGCAAATTTCTACTAACAATGAATGGTGATTTGTGAATGAGACTTCTTTATATAAAATGTTTATGGCAAACATTTAACGAAATTAAATAAAGTTTTATTTATTTATGTTTATTAATAATATTAAATTGTCTAATAAATACAAATTAATTATGAGAAACATTGTTGATTTAATTTTGTAAAAGCATTTGCTACAAACCATATGTATAATAATAGATTTTTTTTATTTAATTTGGAAAAAAATATCAGATTAAATCCAAAAATACTAAAACTTTTAATTGTTCCTTTGAGTTAATAATGTTAATAAAAACCCAATGTTGATAGAAAAGACTTTTAACAAATTTTTATAGAATTTTATGTTATTATTTAAATAAAATGTTTACGACCAAAATTTAACTAAATTTAAAAAGCTTTTGTTATTTAAATTATAACTTATATTATTTATAACTTAATTAAAATTATAAATTCATTTGAGAAAAAGAAAATTTTAAGTTTGTGAAAACCTTTGCTAAAAAAGGTGTAAAAGTTTTTTTAGCGTTAGCAAAGAAAAAATATTAAATATGTTTTAACAAAAAGAAATCGTTGTTTCATTGTTTTAATGTTTTAATGATGCGAAAACATTATAAATTTATATTTTATTTAAATGAAAGAAACAATGAAAAAAAAAAAAGCTTATGAACTTCTTTCAAATAAATTCGATGTAATAATAAAAAAAAATTGACTGTAGTATTAAGATAAAGATAAAGACTTTTTTTAAACAATATCTTCTTTAACGCTTCTTTAAAACAAGATAATTAAGAACTGGGTGGGTGGGAAAAAAATACAATCAGATGCAATCAAATAATAAGTATTAAGGAAGTTGAAAGATTTCAAACGTTTTGTCAGGCAGTGCGCTGCTAAATAATAATTTTAAATATTTATTGTCTAAAGAACAATGTATAACAAATTAAAACTTAAAAAAATTGTGTGGAACACCCATATCCAAAAATAAAAGATCGCTCCCGATAACTTAATGACGACCGCGCATAATCGTGCTCGTTAAAACAAAATTTGAGTTTAACGGGCATGAAACATCACGCTGGACAATTTTCTTCATGCCAAGGCCTGCTTATGTAAAGTTGATTTTGTATACATTCAAAAAAGCGCTTGCGTTTTTTTTATAGAAAGTAATTTTGATTGATTTTTGTAATGTTATGTAGTTTATGTTGCTGCATACAATACTAAGATCCGGTATATTGTGAAGAAACTACTAAATTCATAATATATATTTAGCCACAGTTTATGTTGATGCTAGTTTATTGTTAGAGGAGATTCAGTTAAATAAGCAAAACAAACCTTAAAAGCAATATCAGAAAATAACTTATATAAAAGATGCCAAAATATTAGCAGTAAGTCAAGAATTAAAAGAAACAGCTGAATCATCTACAGCACTTCATTCAGTTTTAGGTAAATTTAATTCTGATGAAGAATTAGACATGTTTAAAAAAGACCTTGATGAAAAATTGAGAAGTGTGACAAAATGAACTTTTTAAATAAAAACTGTCACAACCCAATGAAAAAGAATGTTTAAATATGAAATTGGCTTTTGAGGCAATTAAGGAATACCTAAAAAAGGATACAGAGGTGTGCAGAGTAGTCACTTCTATGGCTTTCTCAAAAGAACTATAGAGGTTTTTTGCATTTGAGTTTTTATCAAGCAGTTTTGATATAACTACCAAAGCCTGATATTTTATAAAATATTTTATTATTTTGATTTGTTTTCTCTGGAGCTGCTCTGAAGCTGAAGCTAAAAAATTTAATGGACACGGAGCCTGGAGCTGGAGCCAATTTTTTGACCTCGGCGCCATAACCCTGCTTACCTGTATCTAAAACCAGCTTTAAAAAATTGTTGATTAAAATATACTATTAAATCATTTTTTGAAATAAATAAAGCACTTCAATTGAATCTATTTATAATTTAATTCAAATTAAAGAATCGTTTAAAACCTGGGTTTATACTTACAGGGCTCAATTTAATTTTTTATTAAGTCCCATACAAAATGTCTGATCAAGTTTTTAAAATATATTTTTTACGGTTTTACAGAACCGAGTTATGCAATCGAAATCTTTATTCAGTTTATTTAACGTTAGTCTAATAAAGTTGTAGTTTCTTTTCTTTCTTTGTTATTTAAAATATTTCATTGCAGGTTTTTGTTTTTTAATAAAATAGGTTTAATTTAATATTTAATACTTTAATTTTCACTCAAATAGTATTGCTTATTATTTTTCTTTACAATTTGACAACGACTGTTTTAATATTTAACAATTTAAAAGCAATAAAAAAAAAATTGTTGCATTACAAATAACTTTAAATCATTGATCTTTTTAAAAGTTTTTATATTACGCGAAGGCTTTAAATAAAATAAAAAATTAATTATAATTATAGTTTAAAATTACGCGTATTGCGTAACTTTAATTAAACATTTTAAAAGATAGGTTTTAAAGTAACTTTTTAAAATCCAATTAAAAACGTAGCTAAATTTTAACTTTGAGTTTTTTTTAGTTATGTTTTAAAGCTTTTTTTTTTTTTTTTTTTTTTTTTTTTTCTTCTCCTTGTAAGGAATTGTTAAGCTTATTTTTTAGTTTTTTCAATTTTTTTCCTAGTTTAAGTTCAGCTTAATGTTTCTTTTTTCAGCACATTTCTGAAATGTCAAAACATCTAAACAGTCGTGGTCAAGTCGTAAACAAAAAAAATCATTTGCATGGTCAGCAATAACATTTGATTGCACGCTATTTCTGTCCAAGCTTTATTTTGTAGAATTTAATTCTTGTTGGTCAAAATATCCAAATACTTTGTATATTGACCAGACAATCTGAGGCTTAAGCTGGACAATTTTGGATGTCTGATCGTTAAATTGAGCCCTGTACTTATAATCTCATTATCTAAATTACACTAAGCCTGTAAAATCAATAGCAGTGAATTCTTTTTTAAAATTAAATTTATTCAATCAAATACATTTTAACAAATGCAAAGAGCAATTACACTCTCCAATGAATAAAAAGACAAGATTGAAGCCTACAGGTCATTGTGTTTATCAAATAGGGCAATCGCTTGCGAGCTAAAAAGCTCACCACGTTAGATCAATAGTTTTGTAAATTATCTAACAAATTATTGCACAAAGCATCAAATTTGAAGAAGATAGGTGCTTGCAGCTCATCAGCTGCAATGAATTGTGTGTGTTGCAAGTAACTGCAGTCTCCACAAGACAAATTAGCGCTTATTTGGTATTAAAAAGCTCATTAAATGTCGATTTTTGGAATTTGAGAAGTGTCGATAAATTAAAGAAGGCAATTTTTGGAAAAACATATCTTATAATTATCTCAGAAAACATTCGGAAAGTGTGCTGAATTATTTATTATTGTGGCAATAAAATAAAAGATTCATAATAAATTCAAATTAAGAAACAACACATCAAATTTTGGTAAATAAAATTGAAACGAGGTTATATATTTGCACCATCATTTTTCTAAAACTTTTTTATCATCAATTAATGAAATGAAACCAGACTGCATTACAAATGAAATATTGATCAATTTAGATGCTAAGCAGTTGAATAATTTAGTTCTGATCATTTATATTTATTTGGTGAGGTTAGATTTATAATGTTTTCGCATCATTAAAACATTTTAAAATAACAGTTTTTTTAGTTGATTTTTAATATATATTTATGATCCTTTTTTTTTTGGGAGAAAAGTCTTTTTGATACAGCATGACCTGAGTATTGGTTAATTATGATCATGGTAGCCATGGTAACCTTTTTACAAAGCTCTTTATAAGAAAATTTTTTTGTTACAAATAAAGATCTTTCTTTGTAACAAAGTTTTAGTTAACGATTTTGATATGTGTAACTCTGCACATATTAAATTCAATATATCAATAGTATGATCTAAAAAATAGCTATAGTTAAAAACATTTGTGGTTAGTAACATGCGCTTAAAGCAATAAAAAGAAACATAGATTAAAAATCCGAGGCTAATCTACTTTTATGATAAAAAACACAAATAGGTTAAAAATAGTTTAGTTTCTGTAAGCATTCTGTGTGTAATTTTTTTTAAGCCTGCTTAATCAGCTTTTTGATGTTGAAAACTTCAAAATAAATATGAAATTATATTTTAATTATTTTCAATATTTTTAGGTTATTATGGAGATTTATTTTCTTTGTCATCTATGAAGGAAATACTTGCTGCCCATGAGTTGGAGTTTGAAACAGATGTAAATGTTTGTCGATATGTAGATAATGAAAAAGAACTTTTAAATGAAGATGGATGTTTGACTGTTGATAAATTTGACAAACTTATGAATGACAAACATGCAACATTTCAATTACATCAACCTCAACGCTATGGGGCAAGTTATATTAGTAAATTGATTTTATTTAAACAAAGTTTTAATAATATAAATTAACTTTTTTCCACATTATTTCATATTATGGAGCATTAAAGTTAATGATAAAAGATTAGTCTCAAAAAATTTAATTATTTGTAAATTATTATTTTAATAAGTTTTTTAGAAAAGTTAATTTCTTAATATGCTATGGAAGTAATTTTTTTAGTAATAAATTTTTATCTTTTTGCTATTTTGTAAATTTTACATGTTAATCTATACTTATTTATTTAGACTGTCTTGTGGCAATTAATGGAAAAAATGGAGACATATTTTGGTTGTCTTGTTGGATCAAATGTGTATATTACACCTAAAGAATCTCAAGGTCTTGCACCTCATTGTGATGATGTTGAGGTATCTTATTGTTTTTAAATTAAATGCTGTAGTGACAGAATTGACTATAGTTAAACTGAACTTGCAATATTTTATCTATTTGCAAAAATTGTATGCAATATATTAGTTTTCATGTCATATTAATAATAATGTGTCAATAATGACAATAATTGATAAAAATGTAGCAACTTGATTTTCTTTGTACGTTTTTCTCTTTTTTTTTTTTTTTTTTTTTAATTGAAACTTGTTGTAATAATAGGCTATTTAAGTTTTTTGATGATACAGAGGTTTTATTGTGCAAGTGAGAATATTAATTAGTATTGTAATTTTTGAAAATTTTAAATGCTTAATAATCCTAAGCTATTATATAGTGTCATTTAATTTTTGTTTTTGATTTCGTTAAAAAGTTTTTATTGTAATAAATGATCTTTGAAGTATTTTAACAAAAGTTGCACTCTTTCCTCTGTCATAATTACACATTTGTAGAGAAAAGTAGTTCAATTGAAATTTTTGATACAACAAGTTTTTCTTAAGTTCATAAATTTTTTTAATAATGGTTGGAACTATTTTTGGAAAAGTTTTTATGACATCAACAAAATCATTTTATAGCTTTTTTTTAAATAAAAGAAATATTTTATAATAAGAAAATGGTCATAGTCAGTTGTTATAATTCAACTAAAACATTATTCATTATTATTAATAGGTCATTCACAAATTGCTTCATGCAATTTTTGACTCTTCCCATCCCCCTCCTCCTTATCACATATCGTAACTTTTTAGTAACAAGTTCCCTATGAGTTGTCACAAAAGCACAGCTGGTTTACTTATGAGTTGTCACAAAAGTACAGCTGGTTTACTTATGAGTTGTCACAAAAGCACAGCTGGTTTACTTGTGAGTTGTCACAAAAGCACAGCTGGTTTACTTAAAACTTTGACACTTAATTTAAATTGAGAGTTGATTGATAATTTCACTTGTTATTGTTTGATGTGATGACGATTTTACTTGTTATATTTTTCTGTTATATTTTAAGAAAAATTGCACCTTGGGTTGTTATCTCTTGAAGTATTTAAAATCTAACTTGGTTTTTAATCTATCTTACTTGTTTTTTTATAACTTACTTAGTTTTTTGAATAACTTTAATAACATCTAACTTGGTTTTTAATACAACTTTATGATAATTCTGTTCTCGATCTAAAATTTTGTATAATATTTAATTATGTAAGATAATTAGATAAAATTAAAAACTTGTTGATGAATTAAAGTATAAGATAGTGAAAATATGTAACTTTTATTGGCTTTTAATCATCTCTTTGTGGAACTAGTATGCTCCTGCATTCAGATTGCATTCTAAAATAGATTTTAAGTGTACTGTTAACAAATTTTGATCTTTCTTGTATGTCAATTAAATTTATAGCAGGGAATATGGCTGTATTGTTTTTTAGAGATAGCTAATAACCTAATTGTTGCTTGGAAGTCCAAGATTCAATGCAAATGTTGCAAAATGTCAGTGAATAACATCTTATGATTGGGAATTTTACTAGTTAAAATCCTAAATTCCTAATCATTTGCCAAATTTAAAACCAGAAACCATTTCCATTGCAATATTTTTTTTAAATCATTTTTTTTTAAATACCATGACATGTTTTTTACTTCTTTGGGGTATTAAGTTTTGATGTTTTGGGGATTAAGTTTTAATATTTGGGGTATTAAGTTTTGATGTTTTGGGGATTAAGTTTTGATATTTGGGGGATTAAGTTTTGATGTTTGAATAAAACATTTTTTAAAATAATTTAAATCAAATTACATCATTTAACTATATTTGTTTGTTGTATGTGTCCTTGTTTTCTAATTTCTAGATTAGGAAACATAAGTATAGATATATGCAACTTTTTAATTTTATGTTTTAGGTTTTTATATTACAGTTAGAAGGTACTAAACATTGGAAACTTTATAAACCAATGGTTGAGCTATCTCGTGATTATACTCAAGATCTTTCTCAAGATAGCATTGGGAAACCAATAATGGAGCTCACTCTTGAGGTTATAATCAAACTTTATGGGGAAAAAAAAAATAATTTGAATTAATAAATTAAAGAAATATTTTGTTTTCATAGCCAGGTGATTTACTCTATTTTCCTCGTGGAACAATACATCAAGCAAGATCAGTGGGAGAAAGTTATTCTACGCATATTACTTTGTCAACATATCAGAACAAGCATGTTTTTGTTTTACTTTGTTTCTTATTATATTTTGTGTTTTATATTTAAAAATTTTTTAAAAAAATCGAGTTTTATTGGTTTATATTGAAATTTTTTTTAGTACACTAGGAGATTTCATGAGTATTGCTGTTTCTCAAGCAATAGAAAGTGCTTTGGAGAATGATGTTAGTTTCAGGCGTGGATTGCCAATTAACTATCTCTCATATTTAGGAACAGCAAAGAACTTTAGCAAATATTTTGATGAAGATGGTAAAGAATCTAAGTTGTCAAGTAATGAAAATAATGAAAAGGTTAAAAAGTTTAAAGATAGCGTTAAAAAACATTTGTCAAAACTCATTGACCATATTGATGTCAACACTGCAGCTGATATGATGTCATATGATTTTATGGCAAGTCGCCTACCTCCATTTGGACATGTAGTAAAAGAAGGTATTTTTTGCATGGTCTTTTGTATGCTTTTTAAAATATTTAATTTTTTTGCAATGTTGTACATGTTTATGATAAAGGTTTTGATTGTAATTACAAAAAATATTGATAATACAAGTTTTAGATAGAAGATACAAGTTTTGTAAAAATTTTTGTTAAATCAAAATCTTTATTTTTCAAAATATATTATTTCTAAAAATTATTCTAAGGTTAGTTTTTGCATTTTGAATATAAAAACTGCATACATGCTAGAATATTAAGAATGCATACATGCAAGAATATAAAAACTGCATACATGCAAGAATATAATAGTTGCATACACGCAAAAATATAATGGTTGCATGCGTGCAAAAATATAACGACTGCATGCATGCATGAGCTATACTTTGTATTGTTATTAGTATATATTTTTTTAAAGAGCAAATTAATACTTTATTAAGTTGTATTTTCTGGTCCAAATTCTTTTGATGGTTTAACTTAGTTCTATCACTGTTTATGCTTGATTTTAAATTCTGTTCTTATATGTTGTCAATTTTTTTATTTATTTATTGTCTTATATGTTGTCAATTTTTTTTTATTTTTTTTTTATTACAGAACAGTTAAATGAGTTTAAATCTCCAACATTGGATAGTAAAATCAAGCTGCGTTATCCTGAGCATGTTCGCCCTGTATATTATGATCAAGAAGAAACTGATGAAGCTGATAATACCGTTGGAGATGATGATTCAGAAGATGAGGTTTGAAATCAATGTAGTTTTTGTTACTAATATTTACTTTATATATCTAAGGTTTTACTTTAATGGAGATCAATGATGAATTAGTAAAAGGTCTGAATAACAGTTAAAGAATCTTCTTTCACAAAACTTGTGTATATGTTATTGTGTCCATTTGTACAAAAATTAAATGGAATGCATTGGATGATGGATGTAAAAGTTATACATTTTTCATAAAGGGCTTTCCTTACATTGCTTTTTATAACTATTGTGTGATTTTCACAAATACATTAAAAAGTATTCTAAAATTGTTTTAATGGCTGTAAGATGTTTTCTTATGCTTATGATTACAACAGGCACCATTCTGAGATCTCTATACTAAAAGCTTTTAAATATTTTCAAATGTTTGAGTAAATAATAATATAAAATATAAAATTTTTTATATTTTTTAATTTTATTATTCCTATAGTTATAGTATTTATCCATTAATTAAATTATTATTATAGTATTCATTATAAGAATGCATCTTTTCCTTATTTCTATAAATACCACTATGGTTGATGCTCAACCAAGTTAGCATCACTTGATCTTAATGTTTAACATCACTTGATCTTAATGTTTAACATCACTTGATCTTAATGTTTAACATCACTTGATCTTAATGTTTAACATCACTTGATCTTAATGTTCAACAAAGTTAGCATCACTTGTCTTAATGTTTTTCTAACTCATGCAATTTATAGATTTATAAGTCTTTATTCCACTGCTTTCTTGCTCTTAAGAGGGTTCCATAAGTTTCAAGGCAACTTAATTTTTATGTTGATGTTTATTTCATAAATAAGCATTAGAAAATAAGTTTTTAATAACTTTACAAAACAAATTTTTTAACGAGGTATTGACAAAATAAAAAATTTCAGTTGTCAAATCAACTTTATTTGTACTGTTTTTCACTATATCCTAAAAATAATATCTTTATTTAAAAAAATATTAATTTGGTTTTTAAGGTTTTATACAAGTAACTTGTTTAAAGCAAATTTCTAGAAAATTTGTATCTTCTTTACATTAGGTTATTATTATTATTATTATTATTATTATTATTACTATTATTATTATTATTATTATTATTATTATTATTATTTAAATAAAACAAGTATAAGCCAGACTTTAAAAGTGTTAATTAATGATCTTATGGTTTTCATACAGGTATTATGCACAATAGAAATTTATATATAGGGTCAGTGCCCTAATTTTGCATAGGAGAGAACAGTATGAAAGCTAATTAAAATAAAGATTTTTTTTAAACTTGTTAAATTTTATTTATTTAATGTAAACAAAACTTACATTACAATAAATTTTATAAATAAAATATATATTCAATACCACTTTTCGCAGTGTTTTTTTTTTTCTTTTTTTTTTTACAAACTGTAATTAGAGTATTTTTTAAAGTTTTAAGGATTTATAAAATAGGAAAACCAAAAAATTAAAATATTGTTAAACCTTTACAATTACTTATTTTTGTTGACATCAAAGTTAAAAGCATGAATCAGACCAGTTTTTTTTTTTTTTATTATTAAAAAAAGCTAACAAGCAGGAAATTTCCTCAAAAATAAAATACAGCGTTAAAAATGTTTTTTCATCCAAAAAAAAATTGTTTCTTTAATTTAAATAATATATGAACAAAGCTTGTCTTGGGTTCTTTTTATTCTCATCTTAGCTTTCTGTTAACTTCCAATTTAAATAGTGTTTACATTAAGCCTCGTTAGAAGTGAATTTATTTTTTAAAAAGATTTTTTCAGATAAGAATAGAACATTGTAGAAATAAAAAAATTATGTACCTATTTAGCTAATTTAAATAATTCTAATCATTGTTTACTGTCAGTGTTACCCTCTTCTATTGTCAAGTTACTCTTGCTTGCATTTTATTATCAATGTTTTGCATTTGCGAGAACTATTTTCCAGACTTCTAATATTATACTACCTATGATTATATACCAGTTTAATTAAAATTTATACTTGTATTTAATTAGGTGGTTGATTTAATTATTAACTAGTAACAAACTAGTTGAATAATTTTGCCGCTTAAAAAAAATAACATTTGGTAAATTTGGTAAATATAATTTTTTTTTTTTTTTTTTTTTTTTTTTTGACATCTTGAATTTTATTATTAGAGAAACTATTACAGTTATTACATTATTCAGTTATTTTATTGTTGTAATAGTTGAAATTTAATTGTATTAAATACTTTTTTAAACATACTGGTTATTAAATACTGTTTTAAGGTGGGCATTAACCAAAATTTAAAAAAAGCTATATTTTTTTAAAATAATAATGCTAAATCATTAAAACCTTTAAGCAGAACTGAAATTATGTATCAGGGATGTAAAAGAACTATACATACACAGGTCAGAAATTTAAGGTTTAAGTTTACTATCCGATTACCCCAAAAATGTTAACAAATATAGTAAGTGGGGCATCTGGACACTTCATTTTCATATTTAGAAAAATCTGGGAGATATCACATTTTTAGAAAATCTGCTAAAAAGTCATTATTTTCGTACTTAAAAAAACTTATTTATATTGACGGAGCAGTAAAATTAACATAAAATAACTTTATATTCCATGTTTTTATGCTCTTAAATTTTGTATTAACACATCAACTTCATTAGACAGCTCTTATATATATTTAAGTTGGTGAAAAAGGTTTAGATATGCTTGAATTATATTAGGAACATAGTATGCTTAGTAAAGTAGAACATATTGATAGTATGTAAGTAATTTAGTAAAATATTAGTATTGTATGCATAGTTGCCTAATAACCTAATATATACAAATAATAATAATATAATAAATACTAAATAAAATATTTCAAAAACTGTTTATACTAACATATTTTTAATGTCATTTTGAATAAATTTACAAATTTTTTTAACTTAAGATTTCAATAATGTTTATGTTTTGATGTACAATTAATGTTCAATAACTTATAAATTATTTGAACTGAACACTTCAGCAATTCTTTTGCTTCTTTCTTTATGTTTGTTGCTGTACTGCGAGACTCCAAACCTGTTTATTACACTTTTCATCTTGGAATGGCAAGATTCAGGTGTCTGCTCATTAAACTGCCCAAGGGAAAGGCCACTCAAATCAACAAATGTTTCCAGATGTGCTGTTACAGCATGTACTTTCCAAGTAACCATGAGCTGTTTTCCTAAAAACAAAAATAGCTTACTATAAATATGTTTATCAATAACTTGGTTTTAAATACAATGGGTAAAGAAAACAGCAATTACCTCTCTGCAATAGTCTTGCGCATCCTTATAGCTTTGTGTAAAACTTTCAATTAAAATTGAATAGTTTGGGTCAAGATTATAGCCAAAGACACCATGAACAACCTTATTAAATTTTCTCATTGTTTCTAAGAGAGAATACAGTTCAACAGGCATTATCAACTCAAGTTTGTCGCCACTCAAGTATCTCGCTACACATGTTTCCTTCAAATGTTCCTCCATGGTAACCTTTTTGAAGGTATCTAATGCTCTTGACCCAATCTATAAATCCAGGCCAAAGTTGCATTATAAATTCTGCCACATGGTTAACAAATCCCATCAGAAGGTGAAGTTCTGGTAATGGAATCTTTCTTATTATACTTATGGATTTGTCTTCTATCTTAAGCAGACAAGGATTGATGACATTCTAAACATATGGAAATTTTTTTTATCCTTTTTAAAATGATAAAATTATAATGGATGATAAATTTTGAAAACATTTACAATATATTTATTCATTTATACCTTATATTCTTTCATTCTTTTCACCAGAGATCCTGCAGATGAATACAGTTCATAGTAATTATTCAAAGATTGAAATGTTCTTAACTCTCTAGAAAACAATTCTGAAGAACCTTCACAACATGCACAAGCATACTTTCCTCCATGAGCCTAAAATTTTATATTATAATTCAATTTATAAATATATTGTAGGGTAAAAAAAACCTTTTTCTAATATAGTTTTTACCATTATATGTCTTATTATCTTAAAATTATTTAAAACAAACACACCAAAATTCCTTGCAATATGTTGATTAACTTCATGTCAGAAGCCAATGAATACTTGCATTCATGCAATTTTAATCTTTCCACAATCATTGTCATGTTAAAATGATTCTCACTTACCCTTTCACAATAAGCTAAAACGAGTGACGTATTTACTCCTGAGTATGATCCTAAAGAGCTGCTATCTTCTGTCCTGTCCTTGGTTGGATCAAACAGATATACTATAACTTTCAGTGATCCTCCACCTATAAATATATATATATATATACTTACGCACAAACATATTTGTATATAAATATGTACAAATAATATTTTTAAAAACAAGTTTTCAAAAAGACGATTATTAAAATGAAATAAGTAATATAAATTAAATATAAATACCTGAATATATTCCAACCTTTACAAATGTGTTTTGTGGAACCTGCCCTCGATTTTGTAATTTCATTACAAAATTCAGAAATGTTGTAATATCTTCAATATATACCAAGTGTCTCTTCACTGTAGCATAGTCATTATCTTTTTCCTTTTCTTGAAAGTCTAATAATTCAGTGACATAAAAGTTGGAAAGTAGTAGTTTACTTTTTTCATCCAGGGCTTTCTCCATGTTTGACTCAAACTTTACACCGCTTTTCCTTAAAGTTTTCAACATTTCATTTGACTTCAATTGACTAAGTCCTAAGGTATTTACCAAAACTTCTACTTCATTGTAAGGAATCTTTCTCTGGTCACTTTCCTAAGTACCGAATGTAATATGAATATTTTTACCTCTTTAATATAAAACAAATACTCTCAGAAATATTTGTGCTACTCTTTAAGGGGGAACTTTGTAGGGTTTCAAATGATTCAAATGATGTTTTGAAAAAGTACATGATTCCTTTTAAAATGATATTCTCTCTTCTCCTTAGAGAACAGAGGAGCCATAGATTCAATATATTAGGTATCTATAATAAAATTAAAATAAAAATGCATAGTCAAAAAGAAATATTTTTAATAAAAAATGGTTTTTTAACTAACTTTGTGTATTCTAATAATGTTTATGTATAAATATTAAATTAAAGACCTTGAAAAGTTGGTCTTCAACTTTCTGTCAGTATATTTAGTTTTTTTAAGTACAAAAATAATGATTTTTTATCAGATTTTCAATGTCAATTTTCTAAAAATGTGATACCTCCCAGATTTTTCTAAATATGAAAATGAAGTGTTCAGATGCCCCACTTACTATATTTGTTAACATTTTTGGGGTACTCGGATAGTAAACTCGAACCTTAAATTTCTGACCTGTGTATAGTTCTTCTATGCATAAAAAGTTATAAACTACTTTGAGTACTGTTACCATGGAAACCAAATCTCAATAAAAGATATTAAATTTCAAAATTTTTTTGAACTAAATGTCAATCACAGAAAAAGGGTTGATTTGAATGAGAGATTTTTGTTCATGACAACAGTTGCCATGGTAAAAAAAACTGTTTTTCGTGGTTACGGGACCTAGGAGTCTAGGAAATTTAAATTGCTTTGCTCAAATCAATCTGTTTGACCTATAAAATATCGTAACAAAATTTCAATAAGTTCTGAAAAAGATATATTAAAATATTGTTTCTAAAGATAAAAATAAAAAACAATTAAATTCAGCTCGCAAACTTTTATATTGGTTTTACATTTTTAGAAAATATAATACATATTGAAAAAATACATATTGGTTTTTAGAAAAAGTTTTAATTTTTTTAATTTTAAACTACAACAAATATTATATTTTTGTAAGGTTTGGGTAAATAATAAGTTATTAGTTTAATGCGAAACATTTTTAGACTTAATATTTTGGACCATAATGTTTTATTACAATATTAAAATGGTTGCTAAGGGTTAAATAATTTGACTAGGGGCAAATTATTTAACTTGGCAAAAAAAAGTAAAAATATATTTAAGTATATATTTGTTTAAAACTACAGAAATTTCTCCTTAAAAATACATTTAAAAAATTTTGATACTTTTCAAAAGTTTTGGTTAACGCCCACCTTAAACAAACTGGTTATTAAATACTGTTTTCAAACATGTTGGTTACTAAATACTAATTTTAAACATACTGGTTAGGGTGGAACGGTTTTAAAAATTTTCGAATTTTTTTAGCCTGAGAAAATTTGATTAGCCTGAGCTGTGAATCAATGCCTTTAGGTGAAAAAAGAGCCTTACTTTTTTTTTTTAATATAAATGAGTTTTAAAGGGGTTCCTCTTTGGATTCTTAATTTATGACGGATCCTGATATTGTTGTAATTTTTTTTCTTCTAAACTATATTAACCTGGTACTCAGAATAATACGCTTATTTTGAATATAATATTTGTTTTAATTTAAAACTTAAGAGAAAAAGTTAATGTTGTTTTTTTCATTAAAAAACCCCTTCATCAAAACGGGGGTCTTCATCAAAACGGGGGTTTTAAGGTATATTTTTGCAAATATTTTTTTCACTAAAAATTTTTTAAAAAAAAATATTATTGATAAAACAAGCATTTTTTTCTGTTTTTTTTTTTTTTTTGAGTCCAAGGTTGATATAGTTTAGAAAAAAAAAAATTCAAAAATATTAGGATCCGTCAAGGATTTAGAATCCAAAAAATCTCAAGATCTTATCAAAACCAAAAAATATTTTTTTACTTTCATCTTATAATTAATAGACATCGATTCGTGTCTCAGGAATATTGATTTTTAATTTTTTTTTATTTTTTTTTTGCTATTAAAATTGCTCCACCCTAATACTGGTTTCTAAATACTGCTTTCTATCATACAGATAATTCATTCAGCATTCAACATTAAGCCTTGCTTTTACCAAAATTATCTTATATTTCATCTAAAAGATATATTGCCCATTTTTCCTGTCATTTCAAGCTACCATGCTAATCTGCATCCATTTCAAACCACCAGGATAATCCACATCTATATCACTTTAGTTTCTGATGCTTAAATTTTTTCTCATTTTAACTAGTTTTTAGTCTAACAACTTATTGCTTTGTGTTATATCTGGGAAAGTTTCTAATTCCGTGTTGTTTTGTTGATTTTTATCTTACGCCTAAAGCGACTCTACTTGCCAACAAACGACTGTTATTTTCAACAGATGTTAAAAATAGGATTAGGTCTTTGTTTTTTAATTTAATAATCATTTTCTGAAACATTCTTATGGTGATGTGTTTTTTACATTGCTTTATTTTTATAGTTTAAAATAACTTTATAAATGAAAAAAGCTTTAAGTTTTAAAGTTTTAGATATCTATTGCACGTGCATCAAAATAATTCACTTAGTAAAAATAGTTTTTTAGATATATTAGTGTCTGTTATTTATGGTATAAGTTAAATATATAATGCATTATAGTTGGTATATTACTATTAATATAATATTTTTTGGCTGTTTTTTTTTTTTTTTTTTAATTTCATATGCTATTACTATTAATATAGTTTTATAAATTATAGGAAGAAGAAACTGTAAAAAAAGATGAGGATGAAAAAAATGAGGAAAAGGATGAAAAATCACCTAAAAGTAATAAAAAATCTTCAGATAAAAAAGATACCTCAATGGAAGGAAATGAAGATGAGGAAGATGAAGATGATGACGATGCTTCTGTACATGATGATGAACCTTGCATTAAAATAGTGCATTCTTTAAATAATAATAGAGAAACTCATATGAGTGGTCATGATCTTTCAAGAGATGTATGAAATATTTTACATAATTTGTTTAAAACCCACTGAAAATAAAACAAGTTGATTATTTGTGATTTCATAAAGCATAACAGCTGTTTGTATTGCAGTTAGCAATGAGAAATTTCAGAGAAAGATATAAGGCTTTATTGTCCATTTTTTTAAACTGGATTCTAGAATTTTTAGATGTTCTGGAATTTTTTTAAGTAAAAAATTAAAACTCAAGATCGTGACGTCTAACCATATGAATTAATTTTGTTTTTATTTTTTAATTATAGCTAGCTTTTTTCTTTTTAAAATTAAGAATCAACCTTTTGTTTTTTAGATTTCTGCGACAATAAGTCTAAGTATAACTAGAGATTTTGGGATTTCTCATTTTATATACTGTTTGTAATTTAATTCAATTTATGTGTTGTTTAGTTGTGATGTATTTATTTTTTTTATCTAAATGTATTTTATCTAGGTGTTTTCATTAAAGCTACCCATTCATTTTGCACAAGCTATAACATCAGTCATGAACAGTAATGACTTTATTTGCGTTAGAGATCTTCCTCTTGATGACGATGAAGATAAGTTACAACTTGCGACTTCATTATATAGTGATGATTTGATTGAAATCAAATAATTAAACCACTTATTTTGTAATAAAACTTTCTTATACTTTTGTCTCTTGTAAAAATTGAAACTATGAAAAAGCCACAAATTGTATATTTTTTAATCATGAAGAAAAGAATTCTGTTTTATTTATTATAAAAGCTGGTTTTTCTTTTGTTCCTTAGAGGCTGTTCATTTGAATTTGGCTCAGTCGGTTAGATGTGTTGACTAAAATATCAATATTTTTATGCCCTTTTAATTGATTTTAAAAACAATCTTAAACATCTATGATCAGTAAAATAAATGACATGATTTATTTATCTTAACATTCAGTGAAGGGTGAGAGAAAAAATGTCTCACCTTAGTGTTATGTCATTTAAAACCAGTAAGATTTTAGTTAACCACACCTAGCCCGTTTGTCATGTAAAAAAGTTAATTTTTATAAGTAAACCTGGCAATCTTAAAACTGATTCATATAAGCAGCCTTTCATGTTTACTTTTTATTTTTATATTCATATAATTAAGGAATTAAAGTCATAAATTATATAACTTATTAGATAAGAATGCATTGACTTTTTGTCAAAATTCTATTGTGAAAAGTATAAATAACTAATTTTTACATAACTATACCCTCTAAACAACAACCTACCCCCTCCTTTTTAGAATTATAATTACTCAGTGACCTTTCTTCAAGATAACAAATAGAAAAATGTATCACACTGTAACCAAAATTTAATATTTTAGCTAAAGTCAACTGCTTACTAATAAAAATCAAAATAGCAAATAGTAGTTTGGTTTTCAAAATAAAAGTTTTTATAAATTATCTGTAAGTAATTTTTTCTCTTATTTCTTTGTTTCTTAAATTGTTTTTTACAAACATAGTTTAAAAAAATTTAAATTATTTTTGAATAGTAAAATTAAGATGTGTTATCCTAAACATGTTTCTCCTGTGACTATGGTCATAAAGATTCAGAAGTAGATCAGGTTAGTAAATTTATTTTTTTGTAATTTTATTTTTATCAATTCAAATGTTTTAATATTTACTTCATAACACAGAAAGATCTATGATGAATTAGTAAAAGGTCTGAATTTTGCAGTCAAGGATTATTTCTTTCACATAACTTAAATATATGTTTATGTGTTTGTTAATACAAACATAAAAAAGGAATGCATTTAGATGATGGATGTAAAAGTTTTACTTTCTTCATAAAGGGCTTTCCTAACATTGCTTTTTATAACTATCATGTGATTCTCACAAATACAATAAAAAGCTATTACAAATTGTCTTAATGGTTATAAGAATTTTCCTTATGCAATTGATTACAACAGGCACCATTCTGAGATCTTTGTTTATTTTTTAATATTTTTTTAAAAATGTTTGTTTTATTTGTTTTGCAAACTATTTACCAGTGTGTTTGTTTAGATATTTTACATGATTTTTTCTTTAAAATAAACTTGTTTCTAATTGTATTTGTTATTTTGGTTCGTATTTGATTTATTCAAAGTTGTGAATAAGAAAGTTTAATTGCTGAAAAAAAACTACAATAAACTTGACAATAGAATGGAAAAGGGAAAGAAAAAAAGCTAATAAATCGTAATAAAAGAGAAAAATTAAAAAAATAAAATTTTAAAACTAATTGGTCTAAAAACATAAAACTCAACTAAAATTAAACTAAAAAACTAAAAAGTTTTCTATTTTCAATTAATTCATAATTAAAAATATAATTTTTTTAATTATGTATATAATTAAGTTAATTACGAATAAATAACTTCAAAACTTAGATTATTCTAATATTTTTATAATGTTAAGTAAAAATGAGTAACAAGTTCTATTATTTATTTATTTAGAAACTTTATTTAAGTAAATTATAATAATTAACATTCAATCTGCATGTTATTTATACTATTATGTTATTAACTGTTATTGTTGTTTTTTTTTTGTCAATAATCGTAAAATTTTATTTTACAAATTTAATAGAATAACTACATCAATGTGTACATACATTGACCGATATTGTTGTAGTTGTAGTTGATTGTACAAGTTTTACTTGTAGTTTTAAATGCATCAAATATTTATACTTTTATGGATTAACTAAAATGGTAAATATAATCTATGGGGAGAAAGTAGAACTGGCTCGCAAAACTCTGTGGATTTTTTACTTGTAATTACTTATTAGTTTTTAAAAGAGAAGAAAAATTAAAAATTTAAAAAATAAATAGTTTTCATAAACAAAATTAAAAAAGAAAGAATTTTCTAATCTAAGAATTTAAAACCTTTTCTTTTGAGGGGTAAAGAAACTATTGGATACATAAAGAAAATAGATCGGTTATTAAAAATTTATTGAGAATGTTGTAATGAACAAGTTAGCTCATTTAAACAATCCTTTACTTAAAAGAGCATTGATTTTGTGTTTACAGATAATTAGATTAACTTATGTAAATAAAACTTACAACTTATTTAGGTTTAGATATAGTTAACAAACAAAAAATTTTAGATATTTTTGTATTTAAGTTGAAAAAAAACAACATCTTTTTAGCTTGAAAACTTGAACATAATGCAGAAAGTGAGTGAAACCGCTGGAAATTTTTAGTTTTATTTATGTTTACTTAACATAATTTAATGACATATATCTTTGTAGTTCTCTAAAAAACTGGTTTATTTATATTGATTTTTCAAACTTTTTTTTTTTAAATAAGATATTTGTTAACTTCAGATTTATGTTTTATTATTCAGTTAACTCCTATAAACTATCTACTCCAGCTTCAAGCTAGAGTAGATAGTTTATAAGAGTTTTTTGATAGTTGATAATCTGATAATTTTTTCTTGCAAATTTTTTTAGCAGAAATTCGGGATACAGGCGGTTTTAATCTAAATCCATGAATGGTTTTTATTATAACAAAATTATTTGCAGAACAAAATTATAAAACTCCTAAATGTAGGTTGGTGCTGATTAATTCTCTTAAAGCAACTGATTATATTATTAAAAGCGAAATACTTTTTTTTAATCAGCTTTCAAGACATTATCTGTTTGAGCGATTTCATGAACAAGAATATAACAAGACTGAATTGACAAGCATGCTAATAAAGAACTGTTGTACATGTTAAGTAGGTTCCATGTGCAATTATTAGATCATTAAGTTGCTGTCGGTGGTTAAAAACATCTTTATAAAATAAACTAAAAAAAGACAAGTTTTTTGTAGCATGTTTTACGATAATTACTTATTGCGCATACTTTTTCTCTTTAGAATGCTTTAGGATGACAATAGAGAAGAGTTTAGCATTTTACTGAAGCAAGTTATTAGTAAGAAATTCTTAATTCAGATTTTTATATTTTAATTAAACTTTTTAATAAATAATTATCTTGTTAAATTTGCTGATTTGAATCATTTAAAAAAATTTTTAATATAATTTTGTAAATGATTTAAATTGATAATAATTTTTTAAAATGGCGGGTTTTGAAAACTAAATAATATTTTGATTATAAATTCAATCAAATAAAAATGTATCTTAATTTTATCAGATTATTTTCAAATTAAGAGTCAACAATCAGACATATATAATAAGTAATTCTGAAAAGTTTCAAGTCATTTTATCAAAATTACATCATTTTTTTTTTTTTTTTTTTTTATAAAAAAAAAATTAAATGATATAATAACATATAAATGTTATTACATCATTTTTTATTTTTATTTTACATTTAACATCATTTTATCATATGTTATTACATTTATTAGGTTAGTGAGTCTTTTGGTCAAAAATTTCAATTATGATGCTTTCTGCAAAAAAGAACAAATAATAAAATCAAAAAGTAACAACAGTAAGACATCAAATACAAAAACATGGATATGTATTTATTTCTACACTGAATCTAGCACTGTGTGATCGATTTTAAAGCAGCTATCAATATGTAGCCCTGGGTCACCGGGGCGAGTTTTGCATTCATGCGCAGTTTTTAGTGGTTAGCCAATATTATTAAAAACTCATCGTGCATAGCAAACTCTGCACAATTTAGATGGACGTCTATTTGTTGCATTGTGTGATGGCTGTTTGGTTCCTGGGAAATGACGCCCAGTAAGCCTGTGTATAGTATCATCAGGAACAAGTAATTTGTTTAACTTAAGTGAAAATAAAAATATTACTTTAATTATGTCGTGAAGAAAATCTAAGAAAGTGGTACTCTTGTGGCAAGTGTACTTTGCAAAAACTTTATGGCTATTTAAAATACCCTGAGAAATAAGCCTTAATGCTGGTTTCCGATACCACTTGTAAGTTTTCTGTAGCAGGTGCAAGTTCTAGAGCTGTTGGTCAACACTATCTACACCACCCATGTGGCTATTGTATTCTTTTACACAAATTCGTTTTTTAAATATTAAATCCACTTGTATTTTCAATAAGTCTCGTAGATGGTTGGTGACATGTAGACAAATTTGTTTACCTGAAGCTTTATCTTTCGATGCACAGAATTTGCAAGCCAGCATTTGACTGTTTGCATCATTATTTTTATAGAAAACTGCATCCCCTTTTTTTAAAACCTCATTAAGAATCAGGGATTAACTTTTTTCCGGAATTCCGGATATTTTTCTCAACTTTGAATTTTTCCGGATATCCAAAATATTTTCAATATATGCAAGTTGAGGTATATATTTTTGTAATATACTTATTTTTTAAGCTTTTTCACTCATCACAAAAAATTCTGGAAAAAAAAAAAAAATAGAAACAACTAAAAGCGAAATTAAAAAGAAAATAAGGGAAAACAAATTCCGGAATTTTTCCGGATATTTTTCCAAACCATTTTCCAGATTTTAAAAATATGACTAGGATAATCTATGAAGAATATCTTTTGAATAATTATATCGATTTGATCTAATTGTGCCACATAGATGTGTGTTGTTATCAAGAAAATACTTTGCAATTGTTGGACTAGTGTAATAATTGTCTTTATAAAGAGGTGTGACCTTGACCCATAAAAGGTTCTATAAGCACAGATGGTATTCTTGACGATGAAGGCATCTGATCATTTATATCATCATCAGCAAACATTCCTTTACCACAGTATACAAGAAACTCTAGTGTTATTCCTTCTGAAGTTGCTCGTATAACTTTATAACAAAACGGGCACGTTATATAGTTTGGTTTTTATATATTAACGGAGATGTAAAGGGCAAGCAACTCATCAACACTAAGATTTTTTCCTAGTCTATATATAGTCTAAATCGGTTACGTTAAATGTTTATGACTGATCGAACTTTCTGAAGGCGAAGGCTGTTTTCATCAGTTGCATCATAATTTTCATCTTCTTTGTTATTAAAATGAAAAAATTTCGATATGTTTAAACGATTTCGAATAAAAACTTCTGAAAAAATTATACAATGCATCTTTTGACCAATACATACTAAGTTTAGGTTTACAAATAACTCCCATTAAAAGAATGACAGCAATGAAGGTTTTCATTTCTGCAACATTAGTTTTCTCCCACAAAGCATAGTTATCTGGATTGGCAACAAAAATTGCCTTGCGTACCTATTGGTTTTTGCAATTAACCAAGTTACAAGTTCAACTAGAAAGTAGAGTTCGAAAAAGTTGGGTTTTGCTCCATTCTAACATTTAAACCTTGAGAAAGTTCAGGGAAATCCAATAGATTACCAGGAACATCTTTAACTTTTTCCCAAGTTGACAGAGGAAGTTTCTGACTACTATTACGTACCTTACCACAACTAGTCACTCTACCACGATGATGCACTCTACAATGTTAATGCTTACTACCTTGGACAACATTAAGTATATTAACATTAAATGCAGCATCATCAGCAATAGCTTCTCTATCGTTAGCATGTATAGGATTAGCATCACTTTTAACATAAATTACTTTATTATTACATTAAATATCAGTACCCCCTCGAACACGTCTGGTACCTCCACCTCTAGTACGTGGGCTCTTTTTATGAGTGACAATTTCGCTGTCACTTGTGCTTGAAACACAAAAGCTTTCACTGTCAGTATCGTTAAATGATGGCAAAATAGAACTAAAAAAAGGAACAGCAGCTTCCAATATATCGATATTGTTTTTATTTGTAATTTAAAATTTTCTTTGAATATTAGTAGATATCAATGTTTTCAACTTCAAATTCTTTTAAATTATCATACTCATCATTGCTAAAGTAACTATCACCAAGATCGATATCTTCGTCACTTTCTTCAAGTACAAAATTTCATCTATTTTTGAGATTTTTTTTTTTTTTTTGGCGTAAACACGATGAACTAGCCATTTTTCAAAATTGAATATCAGCTAATCTAACAAAGCTTTTTTCACACGGTTTTCGTTGTATGATAGGATTATTCTAGTTTCTATTAAGCTAAGTTTTAAAGTCGCTCGAAAAAACCCGGGGTTGACAGAAAACAAAATTTTTCATCCACCGTATAAATATAATGGAAATATAATGGAATTTGATATACTTGATTTAAATTAGATTTCTTTTAAATTAAATATAATTTATGCTTCTGCTTAAAGTCAATCAAATATATCGCAAAATAAACGGAATACAAAAAATATTACATCATAAACAACCTATAGGACCATGGTTCGCAAAAAAGTTCGCTTTTTACCGGCTACCCAATTTTAAGGCTTCTTTTATTAGTTAACAAAAACATTTACGACTTGAAAAAAATTGAAGAACTACCTAGTTTTTGCTTTCGTAATCAAAATACTATAGTTTTTATTGTCTAGCCTAAATCATTTCAACAGGGTGGGGGAAATAGTTGATCGTATACATTTTTATTCATTTAAAAGATTCTCAAAACTAAGCTGTATTCTTATATTGTTTGATGAAGATAAAATTGCTGTAGTAAGCTAGAAAGGTAAAAAGCTTTTTTATGCTTTGCAAGTAAACACTGATTTAGGGATCTTTTATATTTAAATTTTTTTCTTTTTAGGAGTGCGATAAAAACGATTTGCAAACGAAAAAAGTTATATATAAAATGGATGGCGATAGTTTTTTTTCTTGTCTTTTACAGAGTTATTGATTTTAAGTAGATTTTTACTGAATATGCTAATAATGTATTTTCTGTAATGCGAAAAAATTTTGTTTTTTCAACATTTTGTTTTTTCTGGTATTCTATACCCTTAAAAAACTCAAAATTTTCATTTAAAAGTCCTAAAATTTTGAAATTAGCTATTGGCTGGCCACCCTGATTACCTTTAAACTAACTTTAATTATTATTGTATCGAAATCATCTGTCATTAGGTCATTTCCACCAAAATCTTCCAGTAAATTCGGAAAAAAGGCAAATAATCTTATTAGAAATGCAGATAAACTAAGATAAGGTACTCTTTTTCTTGTCAAAACATCCGAACATGAAACAAATGTCTGAAAACGCAACCCATTAAAAATGTTGAAATGGAAAACTAAGTTAAGGACTGCACACTAAGTTAAGGACTGTACATAGATTACGTCAACGAAATAAGGTAAGGGGAGGTCTGAATTTCTGACATAAGTTGACGGAGCAATGTAAAGACAAGTTGACGTCAACAATGTTACTTTTTTAATAAATTTAGTTAAAAAAAGAAAAATTAGGCGGTTTGCAGTCCTGTGTCACACTTGCTTCAGTATTTTAATAAAGCTATTTTTATTCTGACTTTTTAAAAACCGTGTTGTGTTTTAACTTCATGCATATATTAATAAAATATTAATATAAAGATTTGAAATGAAGATGTTGATAACTATTTTTCAATTCTGTTTTTAAAGCGTTACCAGCATCTTTATTTTAATAATATATTTATATTTGTGAATGGAGCTAAAGAGACGGATCTTGACATCGAAAGAACCACACGCAGGTTGCCAACCCTTGGTAATAATATTTAAATCATATAATGTAGACCATGTACTTACTTAAACTTTTTTGTTTGCACATCAAACTAAAACTTTGTAAATTGCAACTTTTGGCTCTTCTGTCTTATTAGATTGCCGACCCCTGGTTTGTACAATTAGTAAAATGCATTTTTCGTTATTCTAAACTCTATTAAAAATAATTGGCTTTTACTGTGAAATTGAATTAGGTGTAAAATTAAAGTGAGGAGGATTGGCACATTGAGGTGTTGCATTAATTTGAAATATGTTCATAATTTAAATATGTTAGTTTTATATATTTATGTGAACACCCTTTAATCTTTATTTTTTTGTTTAGAGTAAGTTTTTGTAGTTATAAACTGGAAATATATTCTTAAGCTAAAAGTAATGTCCTGCTGCCTTAAGCTAAAAGTAATTTCCTGCTGGAAATATATTCTTAAGCTAAAAGTTGTCCTGCTGCCTTGTAGGATATGACTTTTTAGGCAAAGGCTAGGAGATGTAAACTCCGACATAAAACACCCCCTACCTTGGGGCTCTTGGTTGAGTAAAGGCTTGAGATGGTGTCCCGATAAAAATACTCATCTTAAGCAGATGTTAAATGCATCCGGCTGCTGTCTTGTAGAAGGCCTCCTAGGCAAAGACTTAAGGGGTAAACAGATTCTATCTTTGACCAGCCTCGCACCCCTTCTTCATCTATTAGGGTGGCGCAGATGTATTTTTAATACATTGTTTCCAGTTTAGGATGTTTAACGCTGGATCTTCTTGACTGGATTCATGGGTTTTGCTTGTGTCTCTGTTTTTATGACTAGGCAACTCATTCTATTATCTCCAAATGAGGGTACAGCTCTCAAACTCAGTTTTATGGTTCTGAGGCCGGCTGGTAGTTAGGTTTCCCGAACTCTGTGGTAGCTCTTAGAGAGACTGAATCATCAACAGCTGAAAAATATCAGAGTACTAACAGTGCCATGTTGCGCATGGATGGTGTCCCTGTTTGTACTTTTGGTGTGCATTGCCAAGGCCACATTGGAGCCCTTTGTTACAGCTTAGGGTTTATCAGTGGAAATGAGGCAATTGCTTGAGCTATAGAGCAGTGTGCTGAGTACTATCTATGTTTCGAGTCAAGTTCTTTAACAAATTTAAAAATGAATAAAGTAACAAAAACTATAAAACACAAAAAACCACAGTCATCACCAAGTTCGCTAAACCAAGTTCATTCACCAATATTCGTGGTCTTCGAAGTAACTTCTTCGGTTGAGTCTTATCTCTTGCAAAGTTCACCAGATCTATATGCTCTTTGTGAGACTAATTTGAGTTCAGCTGTCTCCTCTTGTGATCTTAGTGTTGATGGTTATCTTCCTTTAATTCGTAAAGACTCCAATAGTCACATGCTTGGCCTGGGCATTTACATTCGTAAGAATTCACCCATTTGTCGGGAAACTTGGTTTGAATCCACAGACTACTCTTTCATGTGCTTTTGTTTAGCACCACTTCACTCTATTACCTTTCTCTTTGTTCTATATCGCTCTCCCTCATCTTAAGACTGCACTCTTCTTGATATTATTTCTGATTATATTGACCAAGCCCTCATTCTTTATCCATCAGCCAATATTGTTGTTGTCGGTGACTTTAATGTTCATCACACTGAATGGCTTGGCTCTAGTGTCAGTGACTCTGCAGGCATTAAGGCCCACAACTTTTGTCTTTCTCAATCCCTAACTCAAATAGTCAACTTTCTAACTCGCTTTCCAGACAACCCGAATCATTTACCTTCTCTACTCGACTTATGTCTTGTTTCTGATCCTAGTCAGTGCTCAGTTTCTTCACACTCACCCTTAGGTGCTTTTGATCATAGTTTGGTCTCTCTAAATCTATTATCTCATTCTTCTTTACCATCAGAATCCCCCTATCATCGTACACCTTACAACTACCTTAAAGCTGACTGGGACTTTTCCGTGATTTTTTTCGTGATGGCCCCTGGGTAGAAATCTTTCGTCTCGCTGTTGTCAAATGTGCTTCTTACATAACTTCATGGATTCAGGCTGGCATGAAATCCTTTATTCCCTCTCGACGATTCCAGGTCAAGCCTCACTCTTCTCCATGGTTTTCCTCACATTGTGCTGCTGTATCTGCCAATCGAAACCACTACTTCCATATCTATCAGCAAAACAATTCTCCAGAAAACAGACGTCTGTTAATTACTGCTAGGAACCATTGTAAAAAGGTTTTGTCTAATGCCAAAGCCCGCTATTCTCAGATCATGAAATCTCGTATTTCATCACAAAAATTAGGCTCTGGTGACTTCTGGAGAATCTTTAATAGTATCAATAATAAGGGCAAGTCTGTAATTCCACCTCTTTTGTATGGTTCAGACTTTGCCACCTCACCTAAAGATAAAGCTGAATTGTTTGCCAAGAACTTTTCATCAATATCATCTCTTGGTACCACTAGTTGCGTTCTACCTGATATAGCCATCAAACATGTTGATCCATTGCTCGACATTCGTATCACTTCAGCTTCTGTATCTAAAGTGATTTCCCGCTTAGACTCTTCTACAGCTTGCGGCCCGGACAACATACCTGTTATAGTCTTGCAGAAGTGTTCTCCTGAGCTGTCGTCTATCTTTTCAAAACTATTCAACAAGTGCTTATCAGAGTCTTGTTTTCCAGCCTGCTGGAAAGCAGCATCTGTTATCCCTATTTTTAAAAATTCTGGTGAGCGATCTGACTCATCTAACTACCCTCCCATTAGTCTCTAGATGAATCTCATTCATCTAACTACCGTCCCTTCTTCCTATCATAAGCAAGGTTTTTGAATCTTTAATTAACAAACACTTAATCTCTCATCTCGAATCTCATAACCTACTTTCTGATCATCAGTATGGATTTTAATCTTCTCGTTCTACGGCTGATTTGCTATCAGTAATAACCGATAGGTTTTATCGCGCATTAGATAAAGGTGGAGAGGTTAAGGCCATTGCTCTTGACATTTCTAAAGCGTTTGATAAAGTTTGGCATGCTGGTCTCCTCCATAAGCTTTCTTCTTATGGTGTATCTGGAAACATCTTTAAGATTATTGAATCCTTCCTTTCCAATCGTAGTATAAAAGTTGTCCTTGATGGACAGCACTTTTCTTCTTATTCTGTAACCTCAGGGGTTCCTCAAGGTACAATCCTTGGCCCTATACTCTTTTTAATTTACATTAACAATCTTCCAGATATTCTCACACCTAAGATGGCATTGTTCGCTGATGATGCTACCATTTATTCTTGTCACGATAAGAAGCCAACTCCCTCTGATTGCTTGCAGGGGGCATCTGAGCTTGAAAAGGATCTCACTTCTGCTACAGCATGGGACTCACAGTGGCTGGTGAACTTTAATTCAGATAAAACTCAATTTTTTTCGGCCAATTGTTATCGTAATAGTTTAGACCTTCCTATATTTATGAACGGTAATGTACTCAATAAGTCTCCTACCCTTCATCTTCTAGGATTAACTCTTACTTCTGATCTTTCTTGGAAACCTTATATCAAATCCGTTGCAAAATTAGCATCTGCTAAAGTTGCTTCTCTTTATCGAGCTCGTCACTTTCTTACTCTGGATTCTATTCTCTATTTCTATAAATCTCAAATCCGGCCTTGTATGGAACACTGTTGCCATATCTAGGGCGGATCTTCTAATGATTTTCTTTCTATTTTAGACAAGGTGCAAAAACGCATTGAAAACATAGTTGGACCTGCTCTTGCAGCCAACCTTCAACCTCTGTCACATTGTCGTAATGTTGCTTCTCTTTCTCTTTTCTACAAATACTATAATGGGCACTGCTCAAAAGAGCTAGCGTCTCTTGTGCCATCTGCTAAAATTCATTCTCATGTTACTTGTCATTCAATTAAGTCTCATCCATTTTTTGTTACTGTTCCTAAGTGCTACAAAAACTCTCATTCGTCTAATTTTTTTCCTCGAGCATCAGTTCTTTGGAATTCGCTTCTTTTATCTTGTTTTCCTGATTCCTATAATTTGCAATCTTTTAAGTCGTCTGTCAATCGTTATCTTGCTCTACAATATTTATCTTTTCTCTTCCAGTAACTTCCAACACTAATTAGTGGTTGCTTGTAGCCTTGTTGGAAGCGAAGATAATTAAAAAAATAAATAATAATAATAACTTTTTTTGTATACCGTTTACTTTTATTCACTTTTTGTTTAGAGGAAGCGTTTGTAATTTTAAATCATTCTCTAAATAGTTTACTTTTT